CTCAGGGAGCTGGTTCCGCAAGGGCGACGGGAGCGGACGGTACCGAGACCGGACCGCAGGGCGGGCGCCAGGCCTGCAGCCCACAAGGGCGCCCGCCGGTCACGTGAACTACGCGTCACCCGAGTTCAGCCCCGGCCCTGCCCCTCTCACCCCCATCCCTGAGGGACCCAGCCAGGGGCGACCCGACTGCGGGTGTGGTGGCAATGGGGGAGTCACCGAGAGAGCAGGAAGGGGAGGGGTCCTGACCGCAGGTGCTTTATTTACCTGGCGCACCTCAAGTCCTCGCCCAGCAGTCCTATGAGATGCCCATTCTCGCCAGGTGTGACTGCTGATCACAGGGAGGGTACCCAGCTTCGCCAAGAGCGCTCAGCAACGGAGCCCCACAGCCCGCTTTCAACACCGGTTCTGCCTGACTCCAGAGCCCTGGGGGTGGTGCCCGCCAGGAAGCTGCGGGGCCACCTTGAGGAGCGGTATTCCTAGGCCTCCTCTCGTCTCAGTCCACGTGTTCTCAATCCCTGGGTGATCTCTGCTCATTTCCCTGGAAGACAGATGATTCCCAAATCTACATCTCCAGGCTGTTCCCTCCCCTGGGCCTCATACCTCTTTTTGTTTTCCCGCCACCAATATAAGAGTACGTTTCCCCACAACCCTTTCCAACATAATGTGACATACTTTGTTTGTTTGTTTTGGCTATTGTAATTTTCTTTTTTTTGTTTTAATTACATTTTTTTATAAAAAAAATGTGACATACTTCTTAATTTTCACTAATATGATAGGTGAGTAGTATCTCACTGGTGTTTTATTTTACATTTCGGCTTAATGATAATTTTAGTATCATTATAAATTGTCTGTTCATGTCTTTTTCACATTTTTGTAATGGGTTGTGGGTCCTCTCATTTTTCAAGTGTTCTTTATACATTAACTATATTTGGCCTTTATCTGTTATATATGTTGCAAATATTTACTTCTAGTTTTTTAGTTGCTTTTTGACTTTGTGGTGTATTTTTCTTTCTTTTCTCTCTCTCTCTCTCTCTCTCTCTCTCTCTCTCTCTCTCTCTCTCTCTCCCTCTCTCTTCCTTTCTTTTTCTTTCTTTCATTGGGGAACAGTGTGTTTTTCCAGGACTCATCAGCTCCAAGTCAAGTAGTTGTTTCAATCTAGTTGTGGAGGGCACGTCTCAGTGGCCCATGTGGGGATTGAACCCGCAATCTTGGTGTTATGATCACTGCACTTTAACCAACTGAGCTAACCGGCCGCATTTTTAAAAGTAGTCAAATTTATCATACTTTTCTTTTACTTCATCTAGATTTTGATTCATAGTTAATTAAGAACTCTTTTCCTACATGAGGTCAAAGAGGAATTTACCTGTTTTCTTTTAGTACTCACATAGTTAACTGTATTTTTCTTGAGGGCATCTGTGGTTAAGAAATAAAGGTTAAGGAAGAAACCAGTGCCAAACTGAGTGGAACCTAGAGCAGACTTAAGGCACTAGAGTAACAAAAATCAACCCTCAAGGCTCATTAAAAGGGGAAAGGTTTCTCAACAAACCATCACCCATTTGATGAGAGGAACCTCAAATGTTTTACTTTATGGATAATTGTAAAGTGGAAATAAACTACCCCTCACAAAGTCTTTTTGCTTGGCTTTGCTACATCAAGGTGGACTAGTAAACTTTAAGCTTTGAACATACATTATGGTGGTTCCAGACAGGAAGTACCATTATGGGCTGACCAATGCAAACTAAATCTTCTCTGGAGTAAGATTCCATCACCCTAGTCCTCAAATTATTTCAATAAACAATTGTTCAAGTACAATATCGACACACAAAGATAACTATTAGAAACAAAGAAAAAAGGCATCATTAAGAAGTAGTAGGCACAATAGACAACACAAACAGATCCATTAGCTTTGAATTATCAGACTATTAATCCACAATGCTTAGTGTATTCAGATAAATAAAACCCAATCTTGAAAATTTCAGGACACCAGAAACCAGAAAAAGTGAGAAAAAAAAGGCAATCCTAAAACTGAAAAATAATTTAGCTGAAATTAGAAACTCAATGGATAGCTTTAACAGCAGATTAGACAACAACTCAAGAGAGAATTAAAGAACTAGAAATTATGTTCGGAAGGAACTATCCATAGGCTGCACAGATAGTAAAAAAAAAATGGAAAATACATTATAACCCAGCATTTCCACTCCTGGGTATCTATCCAAAGAAATCTAAAACACTAATTTGAAAAATATATGCGCCTCTATGTTTATTGCAGTGGTATTCACAATAGCCAAGATATGGAAACAACCGAAATGCCCATCAATAGATGACTGAATAATGAAACTCTGTTACATTTATACAATGGAGTATTACTCGGCCATAAAAACAAATGAAATCTTACCATTTGCAACAACATGGGTAAACCTTGAGAATATTAGGCTAAGTGAAAGAAGTCAGACTGAGAAAGACAAATACCATATGATCTCACTTATATGTGGAATCTAAAGAACAGAATAAATGAGCAAGCAGAAATAAACTCAATAGAGAAAAAAAACTATTATTTGCTAGATGGGGGGGCGATGGGGAGAAGGTGAAGGGGTTAGAAAGTACAAATTAGTAGACACAATATAGTCATGGGGATATGAAATACAGTATGGGGAATATAATAAACAATGTTGTAAAGATTATGTAAGACACCAGATGGGCACTGGACTTATCGGGATCATTTCATAGACTGTGTAGATGCCTGACCACTACCCTATACACCTGAAGCTGAAGTAAAATAATATTGTATGTCAACTATAATTAAATACACAGGGTGCAAAAAATATATATGTACATTTTAAGAAAGGAAAACTCTTATTAAAATTGTAATACTCTCTATATACCGATAACAAAAGATGAATACAAGGCATATGTGACTTCTGCAATTATAAGAGGTGCTCAAAGTAGTTACCATCAGTGTCCAGACACCTCTGATTACTGCTGCTCGAGCAACAGTAATCTCCTGCAAACTACTGCTTCAGCGACATTGATGAAGTGTCCACTTGTATACATATTTTTGGCACCCCCAGGCTGTGTGTGTGTGTGTGTGTGTGTGTGTGTGTGTATAGTCACAGGATGTGGAGATTAGCATAAAGAAGATAGTCAATGGAATTGTAACAGCTATATAAGATGTCAGAGGGGTAGTAGCTTGGGGATGGGGGTTATCACTTTGTGAGGGGTGTAAATGTCTAACTATTACATTGCTTTGTATACCTGAAACTAATAAAAAAATGGAAAATACAAATGGGCGGGTATAATAAGATATAATATATGTTTCATTGAAGTTCTGAAAGGAAAAGAGAAATGGAATTGTGCAGAGGTAATATTTGAAGATGTAATGGCAGAGGATTTTTCAGAACTGATGAAAGACATTGATCCATAGGTCCAAGAAGTCCAACATATCCCAAACAGGATAAATAAAAAGAAACTCACACGCAGATGCATAACAGTGAACTTTCAGAGAATCAAAGACAAACAGAAAACCATAAAAGTAGCCAGAAATAATAGAGTGTGCCTTGAAAGGAACAAAAGTTAGCCAGTTGCTGGCTTCTCAACAGTAACAGTGGAAGCATGAAGATGGTAGAATAATGTCTTCAGTGTCTTTGAAGAAAATGAATGCCAACCAAGAAATTGATAACCAGCAAAAATACGGGTTAGGGGGGTGGTAGAAGAGGGTAAACGGGGTCAAATATATGGTGATGGAAGGAGAACTGACTATGGGTATTGAACACACAGTGTGATATATAGATTTTATAAGTATTTATTATTTTAAAAAAAACTTTAAAAATGAAGTTGAAATAAAGACCTTTACAAATAAACAAAAACAGAGTTTTCCAGCAGCAGGTATGAACCAAAGGAAATAAATATTAAATGCTACAGGGTATTTTCCAGATAAGAAAATTATCCCAGATGGAAGAATGGAGATGAAGGAATAAACAGCTATTAAAAGGATAAATATCTATGTAAATTTACATTAATACTATATAAAACAATAACAACATTTTCTATTTTGTGAATTCATGTTGAAAAATAACATGAGTCAAGAGGGCTGGAGTAAAAGTATTTAAAGTTCTGGCATTATCTGGGGAGTGTGTAGAATTATAAATTAATATTAGCCTTTGATTAAGTCAAGACTATATGCTATAATTGCCAGATAACCATTAAGGAAGACTGAAAAGGCATAAAACTTATGAACTAATAGAGGGGTAAAAATGAGAAAAGAATAAATCCTAAAGAAGAAAAAACTAACAGTCAGATGGGACACAGAGAAGGAACTTTGTACAATGGTTAATTTATACATATTTATATCAGTAAGTACATTAAATGTAAATAGATTACATGAAGCAATTAAAAGACAAATATTTTCAGACTGGAAAAAACCCAGCAATATACTGTTTACAGGAGACATGTCTGAAATATAAAGGTACATAAAGACTGAACATAAACGTTTAGAAAAAATTATAACATGAAAGCACTAACAAAAGAAAGCCATTACAGTTAAATTAATAACAAAGTAGACTTTAAAGCAGGAAGCATTATAAGACATAAGGAGTATCATTTTATGATATTTTAAAATTTGTATGCACTTATTAACTTGACCTCAAAATAAATAAAACAAAATGTGACAGAACTACAAGACATAAACAAATCCTGCATTTCAGTGTTAACACTCCTACCTCTGTAACTGAAAATACTCATTGTTGAAAAAAGAAAAAAAACACCTCAAATTCTATATCCTTCAAAAGTGAAAGAGGGGCATCCAGTTGGCTCAGTTGGTTGGAGTGCCGTGCTCATAACACCAAGGTTGCTGGTTCAATCCCCACATGGGCCACTGAGTTGCAACCTCCACGACTAGATTTAAACAACTACTTGACTTGGAGCTGATGGGTCCTGAAAAAACACAATGTTCCCCCATTAAATTTAAAAAAAAAATGAAGGAGAAATAACATAAAGGCCTTCTTGGACCAAAAAAAACATGATGGAATTCAGCACTAGCAAACCTTCCCTTCAAGAAATGTTGAAAGATTTTCTTTAGGCAGAAGAAAAATGATATAGGTCAATAACTCAGATCTGTATAAAGGAAGAGGATTGGAATGGAATAAATGAATGTAAAATAAAATCTTTTTTTTTAATTGGGGAATTGGGGGGGGGACAGTGTTGGGGAATTGGGGAAGGGGACCTGCCAAGTTGTTGTTCTTCAATCTTAGTTATGGAGGTTGCCAGTCGCCATCTGGCTGCCCGTCGGCAGCTCGTGGCCTCTAAGCTCAAGGTGCTGTTACAATCTTAGTTGCGGGTGGGCGTAGCCACCATCCCATGCCAGAATTGAATCAGCAGCCTTGTTGTTAAGAGCGTGCGCTCTATCCACTGAGCCATCCGGGTGGCAGCTCAGCTCAAGGTACTGAGTTCAGTCTTAGTTGTGGGTGGGCATAGCCCAGCATCGAACAGGCAGTCTTGTTAGGAACACATGCTCTCACCAGCTGAGCCATCTTGCCACCTGTTGGCAGTTCAGCGGCAGCTCAGCTTGGGTGCAGCTCACTGGCCCATGTGGGAATTGAACCGGCGACCCTGTTGCTCAGAGCTCGCACTCTTGCACAAGCTCTTAACCAA